AGCACTGTGCACTGCTGCTTGGCAAAGTTCTTATCTCGATCTTCCAGTAGGGATGTGGCTTATTCCCTGTCGCTCTGGGAACGTGTTATCTGGACGTGTCTGAGAGGTCTTCTGGTGCTGCCTTGGTCTGCACCCTCTTGGGGCAGCTGCCTTCATGCTTCTGAGACCTCTCCAAAGGAACAAATGGCTTGGTGTGGCCCCACACTTCCCATCTGTGGTGGCCCCTGTGGTGGCTTTATGGTGATGCCAGTCCGGAGGGAAGCCTGGAATCTCGCCTCCTACAGCTGCACCAGGAAACGGCTCCAGGATAACTCCTGTTTGAGTTTAACTTTTTCTCTGTCCCCACCTTGGGTCTCAGTTCTTGCGAATGGAGCCAGCCTGTGGTGTAGTGTGTGAGTCAGTCCTGCTAACCCGAGAGTTCAGATCCTGTGAGTCAGGTTAAAACCCCATGACTTTAAAAATAGTACGTTGTGGGTTCTGTCCGGGCGTCCTCTGCCACAGCAGCCTTCAGGGCTCACGTGTTCAAAGCAGTTTGGTTTTTAGCATGGGTAAAATCTTTCAAGAAGTGGCATTTCATCACTTCAGGAAAAGACTGAAAGTTGAAAGACCCGTATGTTTCTCAGTACAGAAGTCTTGGGACCCGTGCAGAGGTCAGACTTAACCCCTTTTTGCCATGTAATTACGATTAGCTTCACATTTACTACGTCCAGGGGCTGTGTGTCTGATGAGGTGGAGCTCTGTTTCTTAGCACGACAGGCAGAAGCTTTGAATGAGTTAATAGCTAGAGCTGCTTTGTATCGAGATGGAAATGACTAAGCACGCTGCATTCCTGAAGCGTTACTTATTTTGATATAAAATCTGCTTGTTTGGTACTGCCCATGTCTTTCAGGCATCAGCATGGCAAGAGTTTGGTTCAGAAAAGCTTCAGGTTCATCCTGGAGCTGAATGGAATGGGAGTAGCTGAAGACTCTAGAAGGGGTCTTGGCTGCTGTGCTGGCTGCCCCCTCATCGCTCCAGCACTGAGCTGGCAGCTTCTCCAGGCTTCAGGAGACCACAAACTGTCTTTTATTTGGCCACCAGCACAGGAGCTTGGTGACAGGAGGTCTCCTGGCTGGTTTGGAGCGGCACAGCTCTCACAAAGGGAGTGAGGGATTGCTTCAGGACTGCATGGGCTTGCCAAGGCAGTGATTCGCGTGTTCTCATGCCTGTGGTGCAGCAGGATAAGGTAAGGTGGTGTGTTAGGGCCTTTGTTCAGCTGATCTGCTACTGGCAGGAGGGTGGTAAGGGGGGTTGTGGGGTGCCAGCAGCACCTGTGGGGAGTGGGCTTGACCTCAGCATCGGAGTGTTTTGTTCTTGGAGAGCAGTGGCAGCATTCTGTCCTGCAGCGTGTGGATTCAGGAAATGGAATTGTCTTGAGACGTTGCATGGAAAATGCTTTGTGTGCTCTCTGGCTCTCAGAACTGGAAAAAAGAGTCAGGGCTATCTATCATGTGGTGTGACTGCCTCATTCTGCTCGGGATGAAGAGGTGGGAGCTGTGTTCAAACAGCGTGGATCCCAGAGGCTCTCTTTCGGGAGAAACGTGCGATACTTTGTCTGGAAATTGTTATATTTCTCTTCACCCAAAACCCCACTTTCAATGAAATAATTCAGCATTCCCCACTACACCAAACTGCTGTAGCTGCTCCTGCAGTAGGGGTGATATATTTGGCTTCTGTGGAAATACTGTGAAGCATCCTGAAGCCACTGAAAGAATCTGGAAGTAGAGGTCAGGAGGGAAGCAGCCACGTTACATCTGGTTTGTTTGTGGAAGGAATGGGGCGTGTGGTCCCTGAGGTGCAAGTGCTGGCTGGCTCACCCGGGTGGTCTCTGCCAGTTCTGTGCCCCTAAGCTGTGTTTTGGCTTATCTGAGGGTTATTAGCTTGGATCAGACCACCTCGGTCTGCTCTTTCGTCACCCAAGATCAGTCTCTGCTCTTCTTGCCCTGGCTCATGCGATGAGCTTAGATTAAATGCCTAGTTCTTGATAGCAGCTTGCAAGCCTGGGCAGGTGGAGAGCTGCATTCTTCTCCTCCTCAGATGGTTATTTTGGAAGACACAGTTCAGGGCTGCGGCTGGTGGAGCAGCACTGAGCAGGAGAGAGCGGTGGGTGCTTTAAGCTTGTGCTCTGTGTCCAAGATGAGCCAGGAGCTGTGTGTTTCTGGTTGTATCTGCTGGTTCAAAGATCAATGACATGTCTTGGAAAGACCTTTGCTGTTGACTCAAAACCGTACAGCTTCTTAGGTGAGTGAACCTTATGGCTTCACCCTCTAAGTCATACTGCTTCTCCAGGAAGTGCGTGGAGCTCCACTGCCTAGAGAAGTAATATTACTTGGTAGGTTTATGATGGAGAGGAGATGAGCTCTGTGTGGATCCTGTTTCTGCATGTGGGTCTGTGTAGCTCGGGATGGTGGTCAGGTGGTTGGGCACTGGGTGAACTGCTCGAGCTCTGGGTACTCATCAGTGAGCAGAACCAGAGGCAGCCCTGCAGAGCCTCACCACTGCCTGTATGCTGGCTGGGACTTGCTGGTTGTGCCTCATCACGAACGCACGGATGTAGGAGAGGTTGGGAGCATCAGGCTGACCTGGACCATGGCTCTATATCAGAAATGTGTCAGACTGGCTGAGGAAACTGCAGCAAATGTACTTGTTATTGCACCATTGCCCATGTGGGTGGTTGGAGGAAGGAGCTGGGGCAGGCTGGCAGCCAGCAGACCTGACCTGCCTGAGCACAGAGCACACTCTGGGGATGGACCCAAACAGAAAGGGGAACAGGGCTGCTCAGTTTGCTCTGCCTCATAGATGCTGCTTGCAGACGTTTTCCAGGCTGTTGGTCTGAACCCCCGGGCGTGTATGTGGAGAGGAAAGCTGCCAATGCTGCTGGGAAGCAGGGGAGCCTTTGGTGCCATGTGGGCTTGCTGTCAGCATGGAGCTTCACGTGCTCCATCAATGCATGTGATGGCCTTGAAGTGCTTAATCCTCCACACTGTAAGATCCTTTGGGGTTCTGTCCCTGCGTGAGTTCTGCATCCAGTGGTCTTGAGTTTGAAGACAAGGCAGGGAGTAAAGGTGGCTCTGAAACTGTACTGGCTGAAAGGAGGTTGTTTCACCCCTCGCTTAACCTGGCTTTCCCCATCAGAGCTTCTGCTTCTTTGCTGGCTTATGCTTCAGGTCCTCAGGAGCAGCACCGAGAGTAGTGGCAATGGTATAGGAAAGGGGAAAGTTGCTTTCCTGTCTGCTAATCAGAGCTGTGCAGACAGGCATTGAGGAAGGATGGCTCTGCTCTGGCTCAGGATGTGTTGGAAGCAATGCCTATTTATAGGAGAGGACAGGGGCCCCTGCTGCCTGGAGCAGCCTGGCTGGGCAAGAAGAGGGGCTCGCAGCAGGGCACGGGAGCACTGCAGTGCCCCAGGCGAGGGGATTGGGGGCAGGGGGGTAGGTGGGGTTTGGGTTTTGTGTGTTCTGTGTCAGTCTTCAACTTGTTCTGCCCTCTCCCTGCCCCTCTGTGGTGGGATCAGCAGCCCTCCTCTGCTCATGGCCTGCCTGCACCTTGCTGCTGGCAGGAGTGGGGAGGGGAAGCTGTGCCATGCGGGAGCTGGCACTGGAGCTGCTGTGTCACCTGCACCTCGCTTCTTCAGAGACATGCTTGGTGCTGTTCAGGGCTTTGGAGAACACTGGGGATCCCAGAGAGCTACAGGTAGAGAGCCAAGGGGATAGAGGCTGGGAACACCACGTGTCTGTACTAAAGTCCTATTGAACCTGTAGGTGCTGGGTCTGTGCAGCCACCCAGGTTCTCCCTGGCAGTTTCACCCACCTTTCGTCCTGTACTACCTGGAGGACTGTTTGCTTTATCCTCTGGCTTACACCTTGGGGTAGTCTGAAAGGGCATAGCTCCTGTTTGTGCAGGCTCTGCTTGGGTAGGTTAGAGTGTTTCTTTAGCATTCCTTCTCCTCTGCTGATCTAAACACAGGGCTGCTTTCCTCTTGAGCATGAGAACTCACCAGTTTCTTCTATGTTTTGGCCTCTTGTATGCCTTTTAAAACCTCCCCTTGGCTGCAAGCCACAGGCTGGGCACCACTGCCCTCCAGTCCCTTTGATGGCAAATTTAGGTCAGGTGTTGAGAAGCAGAACATCAGACAGGTTTTTACTTGTGATGCAGGAGCACGCTCCTGGGAGGAGGAACCTCTTCACTCATCACAACTGGCCTAGTCCTTCGGTGTGGAGCAGCAGCCGTCCTGTTGCTGCTGACTCTCCGGAGAAGTAGATGGGGTTCCCTTTCTCTGGAGCTGATGTGGTATCTTGCTGTGTTGGGAGCTCTTGTAGAGACATCCTGCTGCAGTGGTTTGCTGTGTGCTGCCCAAGGTGCTCAGAGCAACTCAGAGCATCAGGAGGAGCTGAGCACTCCTGCCTGGCCTGCAGCGGTCCAAGCAAGCAGCAGAGGGGCTGGCTGCGAGCCCTGCTGCAGACAGGCTGCGCTGCTGTGTTCCTCTGCTGCTAAATGCTTTCCTTGAGTTTGGACCCTTGGGATCCCTGGCTGGGTTTTGTTCCTGTTGTGGTGTTTTGTTTGGTTTTTTAAAAACAGTGGGACCTCTCTTTCCTTTTGTTAGCCCTCCCTGAAGTGTGCTACACAAACAGGCTTTGTGGGCAGCGTGCTCTGGAAACCAGTCTGGAACATGTGATTTGGGGAGGAATGTTCTTCAGCAACTGCCAGAGCAGCAGTGATGTGTATGGCTGGAGCTCAGCTGATGGTTCTGCTCTTCTCTTTTTCTGCAGGTCGTGCTGCCAGGCCTTCCTTGCAGAGCTGACACCCAGGGGCTCTTGGACACCAGTGGGTGCTTTGGAGCCTCATGCCAGCTTGACGTGTGCAGGACACAGGTGGACGGGGACAAGGCTGGAGATGGGGTGTTTGTGAGCACCTTGGCACTTGCCATGCACCCAACAGGGTCAGTGGACAACAGCTTCTCCCGCTCTGCTGTGCAGACCCTCTCCCGGAGCCACTGCCGCAACATCAAGCAGAAGATCTCCCAGTGGGAGGGGAGGACACGAGGGTGCTGCAGCAATGAGAAACAGCAGCTGAAGGACTTTGGAGTAAAGTATGACTCTAGCTGCGACGCTGTACCCAGAGCGAAGACAGAGCACGCGGAGGAGGACAGAAGGACTGGGTCCAAAGATCCAAAGAGCCTGGGCTTGGACTTCAGGGAAGATGCGCGGGGCTGCTTGCAGACTGATGACTCTGGTGACCTCAAGCGCTGTGCATACAGCTTAGCTTCCCAAGCCAAGGAGAAAGGAGAGTTGCAAGCTGGCCTCCTTGACCCAGAGGCAAGACTGCCCCCAGGGAACTTCTACACCTCACAAGCTCTCTGGAGGAGAGTAGATCCCCTTCTGCCTGGCAAAGCCCCATCAGTTCCCTTGGACCTTCCGAGGAAGCGAGGGAGCTGTGGCTCCACAGAGAGGGAACTTAAAATCAAAGGAGCAGAATCTCTCTGCAGGGCAGAGAGGAGCTTGAAAAACATTTACTCTGAGGCTGAGGGGCAGGAGGAGGTCCCACCACCTCCTCCTGCTGTCCCACCACCCAAGCCCCGCAGGACTTTCCGCTATCTTGCAGAAAAGGGTGCTGGAAGCTGTAGTGATGCCAGTGCTACCAGGGAAGCTCCCCTGCAAAAGCAGCATGGAGCAGACTTGGTGTCATCCTCTAACAATCCTGAGAAGAGAATAGCCAGCAGGAGGATCAGAGGGAGAACCCAGAGGTACAGCGATTCATCTCTCGTGTCTCCTTAAATCAGTTTCTAGATGGGTTCTGACAGCTTGCTTGCCACAATGTCTTTGTGCAAGTGCTAGTACTGGTGATGCATCTGTTGATGGAGAGAGGATATTTCTGGATGAAAGTATCCCCTTTCCAGCATTGCATATGCACTGCTTTTGCTGCTGATAATCACAGAATCATAGAATCACAGAAGCTTTTGGGTTGGAAAGGACCTTGAGATGATCCAGTTCCAACCCCTGCCATGGGCAGGGATGCCTCACACTAGACCATGTTGCCCAAGGCTCTGTCTAGCCTGGCCTTGACCACTGCCAGGGATGGAGCTTTCACCACTTCTCTGGGCAACCTGTTCCACTGCGTAATAATCTTGCAGAGAAGGCTAAAAGCTCCAAACAGATGTCAGTCCCATACCCTAAGGTGTGGGACTCAACAGAGTTGAGTGACAATATGCTGGTCCCATGGCGGGTGCTGCCTGCTTCTTGCCCTGAGCTTGGCCTTAGCTGCAGTTTGTGGGTTACAGAACAGCTTTCTCTTTGTGCAGTGTGGCTGCTAAATGTTCCAGCTTTCCTGCTGCAGCAGGTTTGCCTCTTCTTCCCTTTTTCCCATCCATAGGTCCCTGTTGCAGAGTAAAAAAACCTCTGAGCTAGCTTGATGCTAGTTCTGCTTGCAGAGGAGCTGCCTCGGGCGGCTGTGCTCGCAGGGGGTGAACATGATAGGTGGGGATGTGGCTAGGACTCCTGAAGCCTCCTTTCACCATGGCAAAGCGTGCAGCAACAGCCCAGGTTTTTATGATGATGGGCTAAAATCCCTGCCAGCTCCTTTGTGATCTCTGTGCCATGAGTTTGAAGTGGCGGCCAAGCGTATGAGAACTGAAGCTCAGGAACGTGATAACACCCTTCAGAGGAGCAGTAGGTGAGCTCCAGAAAGCAGTGCCCTAATTCTGAGGACTGCTGCAAGTGCTTAGTCTGCAAAGCATGGTTTGGGTTCTTGCGTCTCTGACAGGACGGGACTCGTGATACCTGCTTGAAGTGTGCTTGGCCATGGAGCCTCGAACTTCAAGTTTAAGTTAGAAATCTCCCAGAGTAAGTGAGTAGGACTCACTTGGTGTGCTGGGTTTGGCTGGGATAGAGTTAATTTTCCTCCTAGTAGCCTGTGTGGTGCCTGTTTTGGGTTTGTGGTGAAAACAGCATTGATAACACACCAGTGTTGTAGCTCTTGCTGAGCAGTGCTCACACAGCCTCAAGGCCTTTTCTGCTTCTCACGCTGCCACACCAGTGAGCAGGCTGGGCAAGAAGCTGGGAGGGGACACAGCCAGGACAGCTGATCCCACGTGAGCCAAGGGGTGTCCCACACCATTATGATAAAAGCAATGAATACTTAGGGAAGAAGGAGAAAAGGGGGGACATTTGGAATTACAGCTTTTGTCTTCTTGAGTCACTGTTGTGTGTGATGGTTCCTGGAGATGGCTGAACCTCCTTGCTAAGGAGAAATAGTGAATGAATCCCTTATTTTGCTTTGCTTGTGTGTGCAGCTTTGGCTTTACCTATTGAACTGTCTTTATCTTGCCCCAAGTGTTCTCTCACTTTTACCCTTCTGCCTCTCTCCTCCATCCCACTGGGTGGGAGCAAGTGAGCAGCTGTGTGGGGTGAGCTGCCTCCTGGGCTTAAACCTCAGCACTTGGAAATGAGAGGCCAGAGTGAAGCATCCCTGTGCTTGGTGGCCCCAGGGAGGATCATACTCTCTGTGGACTGGAGACAGCAATTCACTGGTACATGCAGTTGCCTTTAGAAGGAGTTACACTGGTTTTCCTCTAGGAAATCTTTTGAGTTTGAGGACATCCAGGGCTTCCGCAACCGGATGGCAACCACCAAGTCCCACAGGCTTCAAGAAGAGACAAATGGCACTACAGGATCCAGGCTTGTCTACACACAGTCAGAAGACAACATCTACGAGGACATTATCTGTATGTGCCTGTGCTACTGGGGGATGCACTCACTTTATTTAAGGGTAGTGAATTTGCTGGGGAGGGAGGAGTGAAGATGAGAATGCATTGAGGCCCTTTCCAGCTCTGTGACTTTTGAAGTCTTCCCCATCTGGGGTTCTTTGTCGGTGTTAGTAACTGTCTGCATGTGAACAGCCTGATTTCAGATGTCATGGAAGAGCCCTACAGTGGCCTGTGCTAAACTGATTTATCAGCTCTTCAAATGCTTTGCTCGAGTGCTGCACAGAGATCAGTGTGAACACTGTCAAAATCAGCTACTTTGCAATAGAGCTACTTTCTCTGCAATGGTAGAAGTGTCTTGTCTTGCTGAATCCATGCACAGTTTGCCAAGTTGATGGCAATGGGTTAGAAGGGTCTTTAAGTGGTAGGAACCTAACCCATCTCAAACCAAGTCTCTCTCAGGCCCTGTTAAAGCTTGGCAGGCAACTGCACCCTGTCCCTGCTTTCATCACTTGCAAGAATGTAGGACTTATGTCCTTTCCTAAATCCCCTAAAGCCCAATGCTTTTCCAGGTCCTGCAAAAGAGAACCCGTATGAAGATATCAGAGCGCTGCCTTTACCCCTCTGGAAGGTCCCATCTGTCTGGAAGCTGCCGCCCCCCCGGAGCACCAGTAGGGCTCCCAAGGTAGGATGAGGGCATTAAGTTGTCATGTCTTTACAGAAAGTCATCCTCACCAGGGCCCTGTTTGTGCTCTGCCCTGGCCCCACATTCCCTACTGCTACATCATTGGTTTTCCTTGGCTTTTATTGTTTATTATTAATGTAAATGATAATGCACAACCGTGGCAATGGCAGTTGATTAAGCTGCTAAGGAGCAAAAGAATAGGAACAAGAGAGGGTTGATGAGATGCTCGAGTATGTGGGGTGGGATGGAGAGCTTGGTAGAGCAGGAAGCTGCAGGAAGTTTGTCATTTATAATCTGACTCCTTGGGCCAAAGCTTAATCCTATGCTTAATCATCTCTTCTGTTGCTGTTTTCTAGCCTCCCCCAAAACCTCCCTTCCTCAGTCGGAAGACTCTTGAGCCAAAGCCCTTCCAGTCAAGTTTCCAAGGGAAAATGGTGAAGGACACATCCCTGCCTGTCACACTGTCTGAGTGGAAGCTGTTCCGAGCAGTTGAGGCTGCCAGCAGGAGAAAGAACTTACCCTGGGTGAGATTTAAGTGTGCAGTGTTACTTCTTGCATGGCATTTCACAGTCTTGCTGCTTTGGCTAAGCACCTTCCAAGTGCTTTGTAAGTGGTCATGGCAGGTGAATGCTGGTTGGCACTGCTGTGTGTGTGGACAAGTGAACCTGCTCAAACCATTCCCCCTCCAAGTAGCAGGGCAGGTATTTGGGGATCAGAAACCAGAGTGTCAGTTCTAGCTGGGGCAGCGGTGGTTTTGTTGGCCAACAATCTGCAAATGGAGTACTGGGTGCTGGCGTGGACGTCAGTGCTGTGTGTGAGTACGAGCTCTTCCTTGTGCTTTGTCATTTAAGCCTTGTTGCTTGTGCTTCCAAGAAGTGTAGTGATGCTGGGTTTGTGCTGAATGTGGAGCAGGAA